TGGAAAATAATCTGATATTTTTCTTTGCGTTGTCTTTTTTAGCATCAAAATCTCAACAAATTGTTCGATGTCCTCCACTTTGTTATTCACTTGACCATTGGAATGTGCGTCTAAGTAACTGCACGTAATTTTCATGGATGATAGTGGAACAGGAGCTGCATTATATTTTCATTTCATTTTCATCGTCAGAATCTACGTCAATGAAATTTGTTTGAGCTTTGAACAAACTCTAAAATGTCTTTGCCATAATTAGGGCTGTACATACATAATCATCAATTATTGCAATGAAATTTTCAGGTAATACAGAGTAAGACAATCCGGCTGGTGTTGTCTTTATTTTGTTTATTCGCAGAAGGGAAATCTTTTCGTGTTAAGTGATTTTCATTTTGTGTTAAGGAAAAAAAAATGCAGGAAAATGCATTGTAGTTTGTCGGGATCGTTGCTATTTCGTGTTAACCAATATTTTGTCTTGAGTGTTTTCGCGTTAAGCGCATTTCACTGCATTTACAAAAAGAAGAAGAAGGAAAATATTTTTATAAGTCAATTTCTACTTAGGTCAACAAGGAAAAATTTTATTTTAGAGAGTTACTTCTTATTAAATAGTTACAATTAATATAAATGTTACCGGCAAAGTATGAAATCCGGCATTCTATAGAATGCCTAAAACTAGCCGGCAATGTATGAAATGATTCTTATTTCACACATTGCCTAGGCATTCTATAGAATGCCTAATGAGAAACCGGCAAAGTATGAAATACATTCCGATTCGTTTCGAATATTGTGCGCGAGACTTTTAACGCGTACTTCAGGCTCAGAATTTGTCAGTTGCACATTGTGGTTTGTTCGGAAGTGTCAAAATACTCAATTTTACTTAAACTTATTCAGCAAAAAATTGGTTTTTTCTTATGCTGCATGAAAATGGAGAAGCAAGTCGTAGTGTTGGAGAAGGAGTCATGGTCTAAGGCAGGGGTAGGCAACCAATGGCCCACGGTACAATTATCAGTGGCATTCAGCACTACTCGACAAATTTGTCAATTTTTGAATGAACTTCATAAATTTGTAATAGATCTTATTTGACGAACATCTCCAGAATTTGGTCAATTAAGGAATTAAGAAAAAATTTGAAAGATAACTCTAAAGGTAAATTTACAGCTTTTTTGTAAATTATTGAATGCCATAGCTGGAGATATTTAATTGTTTGAAGAGAGAAAATTGCATATGTATTCAGCTTTTCCGCATTTCTACATATCTAACAAGGGGAGGGCACGACTAAGGAAATTCATTTGGGATCGAGACTTGGTGTAATAGTAGTACTCCTTAAGGGTGTTCACCCCTCAATGTAATTCCGTCGAATGGCCAGTCAATTCTGAGAAAATAGCCTTCGAAATTCGTGCTTAGCTTTTATACAATTAAGTTTTACTTTCCTCTAACAAGTTCGTAGCCTGATTGGTGAATCGTCTGCTTTTATTATGCCCGAGGTTAGGGTTCGATTCCACGCAATAAGCTTTTTTTCTTCAATTCATTTAATTATTTTAATAAATTAAATAAATTTATTTATGATAGGTTTATTAAATATTAAATGATATTTTATGTAATTATTTTTTATTTTATAAAGTAAAAAAAAAATAAATTAATTTATTATTTAAATTATTTATTAGTAAAATTATTTAAAATTATTACTAATTAAAAATATTTAAAATAATTATTAATAAAAATTATTAATAATTAAAATTTATTAATTTATAAACTATTTATTATAATTATAAATTTATTATTAAGAATTATTATTAATAAAAAATATAAATTTATTATTAAAATTATTATTAATTTAGTATTAAAATTATTAATTTATTATTAAAATTATTAATTTATTATTAAAATTATTAATTTATTAATTAAAATTATTATTAATTTATTAATTAAAATTATTAATT